GAATCGAGCCATTCTGGTTAAATAATTACAAAAAAAAAAAAAATAAACGAAAATATGTAAAAGTTGTATATTTATACCAAGCATAAATAAAATGCTGAAAACACACACAAAAAAATGTCATAACATTTTACCTATACTTATTATGTTTACAGGTTGACAATTACAGTTTCACATTCCTAGCTTTATATTTTCTCTATATTTACCTATCGTTTCTATGGCAGCTATATGATATAGTTGTCCGATTTGCATAAAATTTATACCGAAATTCTGAAATAATACAAAAAGCTCATATCTCAAAGTAGATGAAAATACGTTGAAAAACAACGAAGTTATAATTTTTTCTATTAATTTCCCGATCGTTCCCATCATAGTAGAATTATACAAGGTAGTCCAGTCGAAAAAAATAAGCCCTAGTTCGACTCATCAAAGTATGCGTGAGACGGGTATAGTCTCAAAGTTTGAGTGAAATGTCAATAGTATGTGTGTTAAACACACTATGTTTATAAGATTGTACATTGGGGCTTAAATTGTTCAATCTCTTTAAAGTTGTTGCTGAAGTGGAGTTTTATAAATAAAGGTCCCAAATTAAACGTTTTCCATTTCATTAAACCAGTTGTCTTTTTTATAACTTAAATTTTAATAATTTTGTGTTTGACATAATGCGTTGTTTTTGTTTATGTATGGCTAGTCTTTTGTTTAAGTTCTAAATTCTAAAATATATTCTTGTCTTAAAGAAAAAAATTGCAGTAAGACATTTTATTTTATTTTTTTATTTACTCAGATTGACAGGAATAAAATTTGTGCACACAATCTACTCAACCCATTGAGTTTATCTCAATGAATAAACACGAGCTGTCAAAATAAGCCCTAAAACTCGAACATTTGGGACCAGACTGGACTACCTTGTTTAATTCTACTATGGGAACCATAGTAGAATTATACAAGGTAGTCCACTTGGAAAAAATAAGCCCTAGTTCGGCTCATCAAAGTGTGCGTGAGACGGGTATAGTCTCAAAGTTTGAGTGAAATGTCAATAGTATGTGTGTTAAACACACTATGTTTATAAGATTGTACATTGGGGCTTAAATTGTTCAATCTCTTTAAAATTGCTGTTGAGGCAGCTCGTCAATTTTATTTTGGTTTTTCTATCTCCAGGGCAATTTTTTTTAAACGTTTGTGCCACAAAAATTGATAAGACATTTTATTTTATTCTACCCTTGCAGGGTATTATAATTTCAGTCAGAAGTTTGCAACGCAGTGAAGGAGACGTTTCCGACCCTATAAAGTATATATATTCTTGATCAGCATCAACAGCCGAGTCGATCTAGCCATGTCCCTCCGTCTGTCCGTTTCTACGCAAACTAGTCCCTCAGTTTTAAAGTTATCTGAACGAAACTTTGCATATAGTCTTCTATATACTCTCACTGCTTTATATGTAGGAACGGGCCGGATCGGACGACTATATCATATAGCTGCCATACAAATGATCGATAAATTTTTAGAAAAAAAATTATAACTTGGCAGTTTTTCAACATTTTTGCATCATTTTTGAGATATAGCCAATTTATATTATTTCAAATTTTCGGTTTTAATTTTATGAAAATCGGACTACTATATCTTATAGCTGCCATACGAACGATCGGGATATTAATCGAAAAAGAGCAGACATGAGCTTCTGGTATTATTTCAGAATTTTGGTATAAATTTTATGAAAATCGGACGACTATATCTTATAGCTGCCATAGAAGCGATCCGTAGATGTAGAGAAAATGTAAAGCTGGGAATGTAAATCTGTAACTGTCAAACTGTAAACATAATAAGTATAGGTAAAATGTAATGAAACTCTGTTTTGTGAGTGTTTTCAGTATTATAATCTATAATATAAACATCAAAACCAATCTGCAAGGGTATACAAACTTCGGCGTGCCGAAGTTAGCTTCCTTTCTTGTTTTTTTATTAACTCAGATTGACAGGAGTAAAATTTGTACACACAATCTACTCAACCCATTGAGTTTATCTCAATGAATAAACACGAACTGTGGCAGTTATAAGATATAGTCGTCCGATTTTCATGAAATTTTTATCGAAATTCTGAAAAAATAAAAAATGGCCATATCTAAAAAATGCATAAATGTTGAAAAACAGCCAAGTTATAATTTTTTTTCTTAAAATTTATCGAACATTTGTATGGCCCGTTCCGACATATATAGCAGTGAGAGTATATAGAAGAATATATGCAAAGTTTCATTTAGATAGCTTTAAAACTGAGGGACTAGTTTGCGTAGAAACTGACAGACGGACGGACAGACGGACATGGCTAGATCGACTCGGCTGTTGATGCTGATCAAGAATATATATACTTTATAGGGTCGGAAACGTCTCCTTCACTGACTGAAATTATAATACCCTGCAAGGGTATAAAAATATTAACTTCGTTGTTTTTCAACGTATTTTCATCTACTCTATTTCTCTATTTCAGGTTTTCAGCAATAATCGCAGAATCCAGTCTGTTTATAAATGAAAAACAATAAAGAGTGGAAAAGTAATAATGTTAGGAGATTTCGTTAACGACTGAATTACTAAAAATATCAGCGATGTTTTCAACTTAACAACTGAAAATATAATAAAATAAAAAAAAAAAATAAAATAAATATATATATAAAAACAAAAAAGGAAATGTATACCAAAATTCAACATGGCAATGGCGGCAACATAGCATGCCATGTCAACATGGCAATGGCAACATAGCATGCCATGTCATGAAAATCAGAAAACTATATTTCAATACTTTATATTGAATACCTTTCTTTTTCTTTTAAATTAATGTAAGTAAGTAAAGTAGAGCAATTAAAATAAGCAAATGGAGAACAGACTCGATAAAAATAAAGTTATTTAGAATATTTCGACCCAAAATTAAGCAACCGCACCTGATCCCATATTTTTACAGCCCTAATTTTCTGATCACATTTGTTTAGACGTAAAGTAAAAGAGTTTCAAAATTCGAAGAGAGTAATTAGTGAGAATAAGAGAACAAGATATATCTGAATTTGAGTAAAATTCACCTCAAATGAGAAGAGAAACAGAGAGAGAGCCAGCAAATGTTGCCAGAGAGTGGTGAGATCGATCCCGGACGATCTGGTACTTTTGGTCGCTCGTGTACTGGCGATCTGGCAACACTGGCCGCTATGCACTGACGATTTGGCAACGCTGGTCAATAATGGCACGAGCTACCAGTGTTGCCAGACTTTTCGGTCCCAGCGACCAGTGTTGCCAGACTTTTCGGTCCCAGCGACCAAAAGTGCCAGATCGGGCGATCTGAGGGTTTCGCGTTCGAGTGTGCCCAGACGCCACGAAAGCGCGCCTTTTTCCTGGGATTTTCCGATCTCTGAGGTTTTCAACGCAAACCACTGCGGGCACACTAAACCCACCAACTGGAAAATTCTAAAATGCCTATGTGTTTTTAACACAATTTTCAGTTGGTTTTCTGGTTTATTTTTTTACAAATACCATTTATTTTTCTATTAAATATACTGAAATTAACATTAGGAATTAAATATAAAATACAACTAATTTACTTCCCCCTTTGGCTTCATGAAATCCCTGACCCAATGTCCGAATCTACCGGAAGTGGCACACCTGTAGGCCCTCAAGGCCCACTCATCCGGTTGATTCCTCCGCTCTTCCCTCCGGTTGCAGTAGTTCACCACAAGCATCAGTTCCTCCATTTGGTTGTGCCCTGCAAAGATCTTGGCTATGCGCCTCGCCTGGTAGCCACTCTCGTCGGTCCAGAGGCCCAGGGATTTAACCAAACACCTCAGAGTAGCTGCCTCCTTGTCTTGGGTAGCCTGCCGGCAACTACCCAGATCTTTGTAGACTTGCTCCTGCTTGGGCAGTTGCCACAATGAAGCTGCCTCGGTTGTAATGGCCACCAGCAGCAGCAGGAGGATGCAGCTCATCCAGCGAATATAATCCAGTTTTGAGTAATTCATTCTGCTTCCGACTGAGAAATGAAGCTCAGACCGAAAGGCACTTCTCTTTTTATAGAAAAACGAATAGTCCCATTTGCAAAACCATTTACCTGGAGCGACATCAGGTCGGCGACTGACGTAATGTGCGAGGAACTTTCCAGCTTCTCCACATTAAAAGTATTGCTGAATATTAATTATATAAATACTAATTATAAATACAAACTAAGAAGTATAAAAAAATTAAGAATTTTTAAGGAAATTAAAGTTGATTTTTTAAAATTAAGTTGAATAAATAAAATTTCAACCAAATGCTAAGGGAATCATGCCCTTTCGATGGATTTTGCAACAGGATAACGATCCAAAGCATACCTCAAAAGTCATCATGGCCTAGATTAGGGACAACAAGGTAACCATTATGGATTAGATAAGTTAAACTCGATCGGAAATATATGGGGAGGCTTGGAGCGTCGAATATGAACCAACGTATTCAAAAATTATGAAGATTTGATGAAAAAACCTGGTCTGAGTTTCTAGTACTAACTTGGCACTGACTTCCAAGATAATAGCGAAAATAGCCTAAAATATGAGTGGATATATTGGATACTAGTGCAAGTTTACTAACAAGAAGAAAAAAGTGCAAAATATCTAATACGTTCCGAGTTCTACGCTTAGAAGAATGTCTGTACTTATTATTTTGTCCAACCCATTTTCATGCTTTTTGGATAAAATTGCTCCCTGTCTTTAAACTTAAAATGTAAAATCCTTTTGACAGCTATTTTTATTATCTAGAATAAGTACGAAAACTAAAAATAAAATGGATTTTTTCATAAAGTTGATTAAACAAATTTTATAGGACTTGAAACAAATCTCATACGCATGTACTTATTTTTTCGGCCAGTAGTGTATATGGGTAAACTCGGGAATACACTTTGAATTGCGCGGCATAGCAGCAGAGAGACGATGGCAGTCTCTGCCTGTGTGGTGGTGAGTGAATAAAGAAAGATTCAGTATTCGTATTCGTACTCAGTCAGTTCGTTCAGTGTTCACTATTCAGATACAGATACCAGATACTCAGTCAGGTTCAGTTCGTGTTCGTGTTCAGTTCAGTTGAGTAGCGAATCGGAGACGTTCGTGCTGCGTTGATTTAAAACGGACAAAACTGCGTCTGCCCGAGCGATTTAATATTTTATACTTCAAACTAAAAAAAGAACACAAAAAATAATTTTTTAAAAATTTCAAATTACAAATTTCACTCAATGCAGACGGTTGTGCCGCGGAAGAAGTTGTGACTTGAGAATTTCCAAGGAGAAAATAATCGTCGCGTTGGTTGTGATCTGCAGCCGGAGATCGTGGAACGTGAAATATTTGTAGATTTGAAGCGCCTGAAATTTTCGAAGAAATAGCAAAATCTGCTATAGTTTGTGGAGCTACTATCAGAATTTGTTGGCCTTTATGTCAAATATATTTTCAAAGACTAGTTTGTCCAAAAGGCCACACGGCGAAAATTTCTTAAGCCCTCTGGGCCACCTACTAGGTTTCTTCGGGCGGAGAGGAGATCGTACTCCACTGCGTGTTCCCAGAGTGAAAAGTGCGAGGAAGTCCGGAATCAGAATCCGCGACGCCATATTTGTCTTGTAACCTGATCGAAAGCCCGTGTCTGTGTTCAGCTCCAGTGTGTGTGTGTCCGCGTGTGTGTTGGCCTATAGACGTCTCGGCCAACGGAAGTTGGACGTTGGCGACTGTTAAAAGAACTCGACCCGAGATTCACTTAATTCCGACTAAAGCCTGGATTGTAGATCGATAATTAAATTGCCCAAGTGATTGCCTAGGTGCGCGGCCCCACCACCACCACCATGCACCAGTGTACGTACGCCAGTGCTGGTGTAAGGCGCTAGTGTTGGTGCAAGTGCTTCTGTGTGCGCGGCAAGAAATAGCCGCTTACCTAAGCGAAAAAGTTCTCTCTCAACGGCTTGAGAACCGAACCTGGTCACCGACACAGGCACAGTTAAATACATACACCAGCAGCCAGACAACGAAATACCTGTGCACACGGACGTGGATAGCACACGAAGCAAAACCAGAAAATCCACATTGCTTGAGCCCGCTTCCCCTTCGCCTCCCGTCACTCTTCACGACTAGTTTGGATTCGTGCCTGAGTTTCACCAGCTACGAAACCTTCTCCACGGCGACTGTTGCTCTGCCACTGGGTCTGCTCAGCCGGACAATGGGTGACTCCACGCCCATCTGCCGCTGCCGCGTGCTCTACCTGGGAAGCGCCGTTCCGCGCCAGAGCAAGGACGGGCTGCAGGGCATCCAGGAGCCGCTGCGCAGCTTGTACCCTTCGGAGGGGGCCGTGGGCGCCAAGGGCATTGATAGTTGGCTGAGCGTGTGGTCGAATGGCATTTTGCTGGAAAACGTTGACGAGAACCTCAAGCAAATAACGCGGTTCTTTCCGATCGAGTCGCTGCACTACTGCGCAGCCGTTCGCCAGGTGATGATCCCGGAGCGAGGCAACTCTCATCCCGAGCCCAAGTTCCTGCCGTTGGACTCGCCCTTTGCACGAGCCCCGCGAGCCCAGCATCCCCCTATATTCGCCGCCATCCTCCGCCGAACCACCGGAATCAAGGTGCTCGAGTGCCACGTCTTCATCTGCAAGCGGGAGGCGGCTGCAAACGCTCTAGTCAGGTGTTGCTTCCACGCCTACGCCGACAACTCGTACGCCCGCCAGCTGGAGACGGGCGGCGGAGGTGGCAGTGGGGGAAGCAGCGTCTATGGTACTCTGAAGAGCGCGGCTGGCAGCAAGTCCAACGGCGACCTGACCAATGTCGGGCCGGCCAATGGCGGCGGAAGCCACCATCTCGCCCTCTCCGCCCAAGGCGGCTGGAGGTCGCGGGCCGGCAGCACAACGACTCTCAACAGTCTAGGGCGCGCCTCTAACGGCCACGCCCCCAACGGATCCGCTCTGGGCATGAACGGCGGCAGCTCTGGCAGCGCCGCAGAGGGTTACACATCCGTCAAGAACTGTAAGTACGCTATGTAAACAGCCCCAAGGCTTAAACAGGTAATTAAACGTTTTTCAGCAATAGTTAGCATCACAAGAATGTATGTCTATTTATAACGCTATGCACAACGGGCCAATGTTTTTGACTAATGTAACATTAAACACGTAATCATCCACTCTCCACTTTACAAGAAGTTAATACACTAAATGTGCGATCGTATATGCAGATATTTTCCTGATCCAAGCCATCTATTCCATATCCAGCATTGTGTCGTTCTGTACAATCGCACTGCTCACCTGGAATGGTGTTAGTTTTTGTTGTCCATGTGATATCAGCGGCCATACATTCGACTGAGCTGTGCGAAATTGGGCTGCTTGCGAGAGTATTTGCGGAGAGGGGCTCTCCTTGACCGTTTGCTTCAGCACACCTGCTTAGGACAGGTACTCGCCGGCTCGGACACACCTAAGACCCTACTAAAAGAGACAGATCTCTAAGCCAAAAGTATTTGGGTGCAGCGCAGGTATTCAGTATTGACCATTTTATGATAGGCCTGCAGACGTCCAACAGACGACGCGACTGCGCAAAGACCCTACCCTAACTCACTGGTGAAACCTTGACGACTCTAACGATGGCGATGGTGACGGCGTCGAAGTCTCGACTCAAAGAAAAAGAAATACTTTTTGCTGTTTTGCTGCGTTCCAAACACTTTCCACTCATTTAAATTTTAACGGCAGAGACATGCCAGCGCAGCGGGCAGAAGCCGAAAAGAAGCTTAAATAGCCGTTTTATGACTCGGCTGTTTCTGAGTTCCTTGGTTGTAGCGAAGTTATGATAATTACTGTGTAACTCGCAGAAGCTGAGCAAACAGACGAGCTAAGAAGTATTGATCTCTATCTCGCCATTTAAAAATCTGAGTGTTGTTGTTGAGTTTCGCTCCGACCGAACTACTGTCAATCCCACTCCCAAGCTGTTAATTTGCTTATGTATCGACACAGGTATATCCGCTGGTTCGGTTGTATGAGCATTCGCTAAGGAAAGTAATAGAGAAATGACGTAGACGTTGGCTTGCCTGCCCTGGCTTTGTATTACCTAATCATGCCGAAACTAAATTTAAAATCATTTTATCTTGTTAGGCTAAAAAATGTTTGGTAAGGATAGTTGGCAACTTTGCCGGGAAAATTACAAACATACCCTGCACAAAATCATTCCCTTTTTCGCTTTCCCAGCATTTATTTCAAAAGCCAGTATTTCATTTTTTCCCCGTAAGGTACCTTTTGTTATTGCATTTTTGTACAATATTTGTTATATTAATATATTCTTACTAATATAAAAAATGTGCTGAAATATTACTTTTAATATATATTTATTTTTTTACCTTTGACTAACTTTGTTTTGTGACTTATTATTGGTTTTAATTTTTGAAAATCGGACGACTATATCATTAATTAATTAATAATTATCAGAAAAAAAACTTCGAGGTTTTTTCAACCTATTTTTATATACTCTGAGTGTACGCATATTCTATTACTTCAGAATTTCGATTTTAATTTATTAAAATCGGGCGACTATATCATATGTACATAGTTGCCAAGAAACGATTGGTAGACGTAAAAAATTTGAAAGCTGTAAAAGCTGTAAATGTAAAACTTAGTGCAATGAAGTTTGATATTACTTCGTTTTATTCTCAGCATATTTATAATTTAAATCTAAAATAAGATATTTTATACAATTTTAATATAAAGTTGTTTACATTTTATTAAAAGGAAATAATTATGTATATGCCATGTAAAAATATATATATTTGAAATATTATTTGTCGAAATGGGATCGATCCTTAATGATCCAATTACAAACTGCAGGGGTATACAAACTTCGGCGTACCGACGCTATAGCTGCTTTTCTTGTTGAAATATGTCTTTCCGTTTCTTTCACTTATCTGTTCTGTTTTATACCTAAGATGTTGGCATAACAAGAACTATCTTACCACATATTAGGTTGCTCGATCAACACCGAATGAAAGCCTCCTCTTGGTCATTCTTCGGCCAATTACCTGTTTTTGCATTGGTCACAAACCAGCCCTTCAGGCACCTACAAGATTGTCTCCCATTGACCATGATGTACTAGCCGAACAGGTTGGCGGGCGCTGTGAAGACTCGTGTGGAGGTTACTGATGAGGTTGTATGTTAGACTTTGTGGTAAGAGAACCGGGACCATACTCATTATACACATGCAAGTGCGCTCATCGAGTAAATAAATCGGGATAAGCGCGTGAGAAAATTCGGCTGGGGCCTTCTAATTTTCTGGGGTGTTGACCCGTCGCTTTCTTATTCTACGAGCTCGGAGCGCTGGGAAGTCACTAGGCAAGTGTGAAATCGCTGGGGAAAAGAGAGAGTTGCGGAGACGCTCGCCAGAATACGTCAATGTGAGAGTATTTGAGTGAAACTCTGCCGAGAAGCGATAATATCTTTTGTTGAACACGCTCATCTCCGGCAATCCCATGGCGGTATGTGTGTAAGATTTTCTATTCATTAACATTTTTAATTTGCCTCGCGCTGTAGTCACATCCAAGATTAAGGTTATCATTGCTCACCGAGAAATATATTCCCTTCCATTGGGATGAACCTAGGAATACTACAAATAAAAGTGTAAAAGGCTCCTAACAATCTACTATATTTATATTTATACATACAATATATTAAAATCTTGTATTTATAATAAAATGTAATTTTGAACTACGGTTAATTGCATCATCTTATCTCTAAAAGTTCAAGAAAGTATCCTTAAGAGAACTTAGCTGTATAGTTATCGTAAAACATACATATATATCTGCGAAATTAAATACTATCGGCTAGGCTTATTATATATAAAAGCTAAGTATTTCCAATTTTTATTATATTTTCTTGACCCCGCCACTATAAAGTATATATATGTATGTATATACGTGATCAGCATTACCAGCAGAGTCGATCTAGCCATGTCCGTCTGTCTGTCCGTTTTTACGCAAACTAGTCTGTTATCTGAATGAGACTTTGCAGGTAGTCTTTTGACCCGCACTCGTATATAAGTCGGAACGGGTCGGATCGGACGACTATATCATATAGATGTCATTAAAGAGATCCAACATTTTTTGAAAAAAATTATTATATATATACTTTGCTGGTTTTCAGCATTTTTTTATTTAATCTGAGACATGGTCATTTTGTTGTATTCTAGAATTTCGATTTTAATTTGATAAAAATCGGACGACTATATCATATAGCTCCCATAGGAACGATCGGGAAATTAATATAAAAGAAATATAAGTTTGCTGTTTTTCAACATATTTTACTTTACTTTTAGATGTAGAATGCAGATATTTATTATAATTATTATAATCGGACGACTATATTATATAATTATCATGTGAACGATCAGTAGGTGTAGGGCAAATGCAAAGCTGTGAATGTAAAACTGAAATATAGTATGTAGAGGTTAAGGTAATGAAACTTATTATTACTTTGTTTATTTTTTTGTTTTTGAAATTTGATCAAAAATATATAATTATTATTACTATTAATAAATATAAATATTTTGCATATATCACCTGTTACTTTTTCTTTTCATTCTTTTTAATCATATTCTTTTTAATTCTTCTCAATGTATTCACTTGACTACTAAATAACTGAATTACTGAAAATATTCGATATTCTAAACAGTTTTTATTTAAGCAGCTGTTTCTAGTCGAAAATATCGGCTACCTATCGCGATGCATTGATACTTAATTTTAATTTACTCTTTCAAGAAACTATCCAGAATTATTTAATTATATACACGTAGGGTTTTTCATCTCACCCAATATATATTTTTCTCTGTGTAAGCATTCCTACCATATTAAACAAATCCCAGTTATATAAATCCTACTTCTTGGAACTTTAATTTAGAGAAGAAATATGCAAGACAAGATTTATATACATTTATTTATTTTTTAATTTTTCTAGTCTCCTAGCTGTTAAATTTCAGTATAATCAAAATAATGACTTTAAAATTATAAATATGAACTATTTACGTTTGAAATGTAATGTGAATATGTGTGACTTCGTTACAGCTTTGGTCTGGCTAATTATTTACTACATAATTTTTATTTATCACAAATTCAAGATAATTTTTCTATTGAACAAATTTTTAGGAGATCGAATGGACTATGAAATGAATCTTTCTTTGTTCAGAACTACTTCCTATGAATGTGCATAATGAGTTCCAGATATGTTTATGTCTTCTGTGATTTCTAAGAGCTGTAAAGTTAAATACTAGTGTAGAGTTGTCAGAATCATCGGAGAAACCTCAGTTCCTCGACTATAAGAGAGAGATTTTTTAAACGACCACCTCTATATTAGCATGTGAATTATCATTCACTGCACTACATTGGAAAGTGTCCGTGAGAGTGCCCACTTGACCATGACAGAAGCCTCGAAGCATCGCAAGAGCCATTTCTGCAGCAACTCTTCTTCTCCTCAGCCGGCTTCCGCTGGGGCTGCAACATTTTGAGCGGCTATTACGATCATCGTTTACGTCCATTTGGCAACAATCTGTATTGCTGCTGCTATTGCATTATTATTATGCAAAGAGGCTTCGGAGTAGCTGAGAAAAGGAAGCGAAAAGTAAGGGGAGCGGTTCCTAGGCAGTTGGAACAAATTATCCGAAATCAAGATGCAGTTGAATAACTCGTTTGCAAGCGAACACCTTCATGTCGGTGAGCTATATTTAATTTTAGTAATATTTAATGCACATGTTCAATTTTTGTGATGGCATAAAGCTTGTACAACTTGAGTAGCCAATAGTAAAGCAGCACTCTTATTATGAATATTAATAATTAGGTTATTGTCAAGTAATTGTAACAATTGGGATCATAATATTAAAAGGAAAATTTATCTTGAAGTAACCCATACATAATTATGTTCATTCGCAAGCAACGCAAGTATTTATTGATTTCAAAATAATGCTCTTCTTACTTTTTAACAGTAAATGTCGTATTTATTTCAAACTGAAAACTGGAAACCCGGGGTTTCATATTTACTCGAATTGTTAAACGGTCTGTATTTTGTGATAACAAACAATAACTAAATATAACTTAAAATTTGTAATGAAAAACACAAAACAGAATTTCAAAACCGTTCAATTGAACTCTTAGGCAGGACTTTCTTGACTAGCTTAAATTAGATAAAGTTTCTCCCAGTTGCACTTGGATCCTAAACATTCTGCATGCTATGCACCGGTCTCTCACTGGATCGTAGATTACTAAGTCTAAGTAGTCACCTGATGTAAACGAATGAATAAAATGGAATCATTCGAATTTCCAGACAGAAAAGGCACGATAAGGTGGTTTGTGAACAAATTTATAGTAAACTCTTCGAGTGTTGACAAAGGCATTAATCATATTTATTCAACTGGGGATCGCCTGAACTATATACATACCTATCTCTGCGAACTGCTATTTATTTGCATCCGTGTGATTTTGATTCAGCTGTGCGCTCATTCGCCTGACATTCCAATCTGGCATGGTCGGCCTAGATTCCGTCTTGGAGTTGCACGTGCGTCCCTCCAACGCTGTAACCCGAAGCTCTGCAAACGCAGTGATCGAAACAGCAGGAAAACTGCATGCCTTACGACTGGTTTTAGCTCTGTGTTCGTTTTCTTTCGATCGTTTTTCGTTTCAACCAGTAAGGCGGGCAGCGCAGGGAAGTAAATATTCGCAAGCGCTGGGCGCAGTTTTGGTTGCTGCCACTCCTGTTTCCGACTGGCTGGAATTCGAGGGGCTCCGAAACGGCTAAATGCCAGCAGAGTGTTTTGGCAAGCGTTGGCTATGTGGTATTTCGACTCGAGTCGCCTTCCCTGCGCTACAAATTAACATCGAGTCGGCTCGTAGCACATATGCACGTTGTATGTACGGTTGTCTGTATGTAACTATGGCCATGTATATGTAAACCCAGCTATCTCGGGGAAGTTGAGCTTAGAAATCCATTTTCACGCACGCGTGCGCGTCCGCTGTCCCTCGGCAAGTGAGTGAGAGTATCAATTTTACTTTTAGCTTATGCCGACTACTCTGCTTCCAACGAGTATGACGTAAGGCGGCAGCTCAGAGATAGCTCGGTTGTTAATACGTTTTCATGGGTTTGCGCCACACAAGCAGGGAAGTTTTATAGCAAATTAAACTCCAGATAATACAGCCTGAGAAACAAGTGGAAGCATAATTAGCTTTCTGCTATTTAGTCCGCTGAAATCGAAGCCAGAAGACGGGATTGGACAATTAAATGTCGAGGAATCCAACTCACTTCCGCAGCCATTTACGCAAATCGCAGTCAGTACTCGGTAAAAGTAGCGACATAATTGCAAAGCAACAAGGTGAAACCGACTAATAAAGCTTTCTTCTCACTTGAGTGGGGTTAATTGGTAAATCGGCGACAGTTCCATCTATATCGCGTCAGGATAATTGTGTTGATGGTTTTAATGGCTTGCTTCTAATACTAAAATATTTTTCACCGGTATGGGACTTTGAACTATTTGTGAGTATAAACTCACTTTGAACTCATGCTCAGGCTGTCAAGTTAAGAAAGAGCAACCAGTTAAGTGTACGTAATTTAAGATTTTAGGATTTTAGTCTGCAGCTAATTAGGCTCCCCCCCATGCAGGTTTTCCCAGAAAACAACTATTGTTCCTGTTCAACTTTGGCTCGTGATGGCCACGGAGTTTGCTCCTATTATACAAGACAGCTGAGTCTATTGACCCCGGGAAAGGGTCTCTCATGTTGCCGTGTGAGAAAAGAAGGCCTTGCTAAAGACCAGAAATGTAATAACAAAACAAACCTTAGGATACAAACCACAAACGGTGGGCATAAAGTAAATAAAAGCATAGAGAAGATTCAAATACGGCCTCAAAAGACAATCGCTAAGTGACTCGTCGCTTCGGCTTGGCTGGCAATGTGGCCAAGAGTAGACGGAAAGTGGGGCGGGTCCAGACGATCGGGTTCGGCTCTGGGGCTGGTTGGGTCTGGTACCGGCTGAACGGAACCAAGCCGGACAGCGGGTCAGGGGTATAGCGACAGGTGTAGCCACGCTTATGTTATTAAATTACCGTTATTTATTATGAAACCGTTGCCGCCGTGACCCAAATGCACTGCAGAACAGCGACAACTGCTGCTGACTGTCTTATAGGTGGTGGGCCCGGTTCCGTTGAGTGAGTAGAGAAGCAGTGGACAAGTCGAACCCATTCAATCGCAATCTGGCCAGTTAATTTGAATGCCGTCGACCGACCAGTGGTCTTGGCCCGTTTTCATTCACACAGTATAAGAGTGGATTAGACATGCTTAGTCGATGGCCAGCGCTTTGATTATTTTGTATTCGAGTGCTTGAGCTCCTTAACAACGCGCGGTGACACCGCACTATGGTCTAGCCAAAGTGGTCGGCTTGGCCAAAATGAATACCTTTGTGCATTTAGGATTTTTACCAAGCTTAATTTTGTAGCTTTAGGAACCTACGGGATAAAAAATGATCCGTATCCGGCAAATATACCCTACAGGCGTCATATATCCATATCGTAATCGGACAACGATTTCTGATATTTTCCATAGGAACGATCGGCAATAGTCTTGTTTTTGCATACATTTTAAAAATAGTATAGGTTTAAGATATCAAAATAAACCTTTGTTTATGTTTTCCGATTTATTGTATATTATTGCCAAGATCTGTAAAATGGTCAACCAGGACCGAAAACTTAAATACAATAAATAAAGTGGTTTTATAGCACAGACATATTTTCTTGTGAATACGCATACCGAATATCGATAGTACTTTATTTAATTATTTATTTGATTTACAAACTATCCGCCAATATTGCAGACCAGAAACGCCTAACCTGTTTCTTGTCTTTTTCAGTTTACGGGAGCAGTGCTGACCTCAACGTGACTGTCGACGACGGAGATGCATCGTATAATGGAGATGAAAACCACAAGGTGTGGAACGGATCGCAGGACCAGTTGGACAGCATCGGGGTCGTAGAGAGTCCATACGAACTGTTCTCCGGCAACACGTCTACCCTGGGGAGGCCATTAAGGGCGCGCCAGATAAGCACACCCATAGACGTGCCTCCGCCCCCCGTCAAGGAGGAGCGCAAGCCTAAACGAGATAAGAAGTCGGCCAAGTCGAGCAGCAGCCAGAGCCTGTCGGGCACGCTCATCCGTCCGAAGCCAATGCACCCAGCAGCCCTGCATCGCTCAGGAATTCAGGGGCCAGTGGGACCTGGCAGTATGATCTACGGACCTCTCCCTGCTCACGGTCCCCACGCGGCCCGCTACCATACGATCAGCCATCGCGGTTTCCCGCCAGGACCGACGGGACCTCCTCCCAGCCACCTGGCTCATCATCCACCCCCAAACCCGCATGCCCACAACCCCCATCAGTCGCAGTACCAGCACCAGCTTCACATGATGCACCACGCAGCACACCCGCAATTGTGCGGGATGCCACCCTTGCAGATACCTGTACTAATGCCGCAGCAGTACGCTACCCTGCAGCCTTCGCGCTCTTCAAGCAAGAAGAAAAAAGACAAAAAAAACGGCGGAACTGGCGGCGGAGTGCCCGTGGGCATGCCCATTGTGCCACCCATCTATGCCTACCATCAGCAGCAAGCCATGGTGTCGCCGCAGCAGTTGGCCCAGTCTCTGATCGGAGAGACACGTCCGTTAGGAAATTCCAGCCGCAAACTGGCGGCGTCGATGGGTAATGGACTAGACGACTCTGGCAACTCAGGCGCCGAGTCGCCTTCACCAGGCGGCACGGGAATCTACAAGGTGAGTCTTAGCTAAATGATCGGTCTTTGGTTGTTTTGCATTTCAGCTGTGGAGATATAGACTGGCTTTGTTTTCCACCAGGTTTACTCGGTCATAATCTAGACAAATGTATAATGTGCAGCCAGAAGACCAATTTTTAATTTCCGATTGAATATGTTTTTTAATAATCTTCATGAATACTTACAGCGCAAGGGACATCTTAACGAGCGAGCCTTCAGCTATTCCATTCGTCAGGAGCATCGCAGCCGCAGTCACGGATCCTTGGCTAGCCTGCAGTTCAACCCGCCTGACATGAAAAAGGAACGTGAGATTGCTCAATTGGTTGCTGGTCTCGACCTCAACGACGGCGAACGGCCTATGGGCATGAACACTTTGCAAAGAAAGCAAGGAATCATATCTAATGGAGGGACACCAGTTTCGGGGGGCGGGCCCGGCCCGCTGCAGCATACTCACGCTCACCCTACGCACCCACATGCCATCTATGGTCCACTGGGGCCTGCCAGCAGCTTTGGGAAGCCGCGAAGATAGAAGTGGTCTATAGTGCTGCTGGGTAGATCTACGTACTTTACAAATATATAGGTTTACGCAATGTTTAGCGATGCTGGTCAAATTAGAAAAGGGTGCGTATACCTTGATTAAACGAGTTGGCAGCCAGATTGAGCCGGATTGAGAAGACCACTGCGGAACAAAGAAGCGGAGAACTGGAGGAAGATACCCACATTGAAACCAATTTTACATAAATGAATATGTGTGCCTTATTAGGTTTATACTAAAAGTATATGCGCTCGCTAGAAACCATGTGTCTACAGATACCATATTTTAATCAATATAATCATACTGTAGAATATTATGATAAGACCACAATTAGGAGGCGATTCCAAATGTTATAGATGCCCCCGCATGGGAGACGGTTCTCCTAAAGAGCGAGTGAACACATCGTTCTGACCAAGTTTGTGTCTTAACTTGTAACCCGGATAGCTACCCCTATTTCATACAAAAACTGTATGCAATTGAATATGCACAATAAATACTTACAATAAATAATCAGGGGTACCTTACGGAATTCAGTTCTGTGGCATTCATCCCTACTACCTACATCGACAAGCGCCGTCCCACCGCACCCAAAGTGGCATTAGCATGCTTTATATAGTCCAAACGGAGTGATGCTTACGCCTGTCGCCGTCGTTGCAACAGTGTCACTTATCCTCACTTGCGTCCAAACTAAAATAATATTAATATATGTTTATTGTTCGCCCTCGAATAAGCCGTTGACGACATTGATGGTTTTGTGTGGACTGGGTCTAGCTTGACGAGTGTTCTGTGACTCGAATTTTTAATGGGGACTGTGTCTGGTTTTGGAGTTACAAATCAGAATTTGCACAACACTCAATTTTTGTACTTTGAAAGGTGGTGTATTCTGTTGTTTGATTAACGAATTTAAAACGGACTTCGGAAACAAACAAAACCAAAGGCTTACGTTTAAGCCAGACAAGGCCAGGCCAGGGATCTTATTGGCCAATAGGAGTGGCCGTGTCTCTGTGTCGGGCTTTCAGTTCCATGCCGCAATTGCAATCAATGGATCGTTACGCAATGCGCATATCTGTCTGTCGCCCAAAATGCGTGTATGCCACTGCACAATCGGCCCCTCTGTATTTCAGCGGCACACTGGCCTCTCAAAGCCTTATGGAAATTCCACAGTTTATGAAACGAGAAAATTCAGCATTCCGCAGCCAGTTTTACAGGTCTCCAAGCCAGCATGGCCAACTGGTCAATCGGACAAGTGGCAAAGCACAGGCCTCCGCATCATGGAGTTGCTGGAAAATGGTGGTAGCTGTACTAGCATAGTTCTGCAGTTTAGCCTATCCAACTTATCCAAAATTATGACGACGCACCGATGAAAATATTAATGTTACCTTGAAAAAGAAAAGCTAAAGGAATAGAATTGAATGTTGTATGTATTAAGTAAAAATAACAATTTCCACCCTTTAAAAATAGAAAATAAAAGTATAGTGGATCGAATATATAAAGAAGCAAATTTATTCCCTAAACTCTAAAAAAGCCGCAAGAGCGGCTAATAGATCAGGTGCCCCGAAGCCCTGGGCCTATATTGTGGATCTTATCTGGCTTCTCTGGCTCAGCTTGCTCACATATTGAGCTTTTTCATACAGTTCCCATACGCTCGATTTGCCTGCGCAATCTACTGCCACCGCTGGTCTTTGAGCACTGCCAACGTGTCTACAGGTAGGTAAAATTGTTAACTTTTTCAGGTAATATACACTCTGTGGAAAACGTGGGGCAGTGAGCACAGAGAGAGGATGGTTTATTGACAATTCCGTAGACGCTTTCCTTAGTGGCTGTTAACTCTATCTCTTGTGTGCCCCAGAGTAGACTTTTTGTGTGTGTTGGTTTCACCTATATGTTTAGATGTGAAGAGACGGACTGCCCGATTGAATATGTGGAATGCGGACTATCCAGTCAGCGAATGGAATTCTTGGCAAAGCCCAATACCAATCTGTAAAGCGTGGCCAATATTAAAAGAAGTAGGGCAATTTGTACAACAGTTCTAATTGAAAAACAAATGGGGTTTGGTGAATACGTTGAGGGTATAAGGAAAGTCAATTGGTGCAAAAGAAAAACGTATTAATCAGCATAGGTACATATGTATTAAGAGGCAGCTTATGGTGAACTTCTACAGCAACCGGCGTGTTTTTTTTTACACAGCCGTCCACGTAGTGACGATGAGCACTGAGAGTGTGCGCAATACGGCAACTATATATAAATAAACATATTCTCAGCCATAAAGCACTACACCATTTGAAAGGTATTTTCAAAAGATCGTTACCATCTCTAAAGTACCGAAAACTTAATAATCTGATCTTTGTCTGAGAAAATCATCACAAACTTAAGATTATGTATTTCATTTTAAAAGCAAGACTTGTTTTATTTATTTCGTGACACAAAAGAAAAATAATGTCGATTGTTTGAATCAAGACAAGTAAAAATCTTAAAAATAGTCAAAATTCCCTATTAGAGTGTTCTGACATATTTTTGGTAGAGGAAGCTGCCGAAATTAGCATACGCTTGCAGTTTGTAATTTAATCATACAGAGATAATCGTCAACTGAATACAAAACTTAAGGGTTATATGTACATATGTAGAAGATATGGGAATTTCTATTCTGTCGAGCTTGACATTTGTACGCAAAGTACAATTGTGTATAAATGTTAATTTATAGTTTTAGCATTGGTTTTTAATTGGTGCACTTGCTCGAACTCAATAAATTGTAAATAAAGGTAAGGTTTTCGCACATGACAAATACAGAAGTCACTTTCGCGGCGAGCTGTTTAAAAACTGATTTCAGCGAAACGCCATTCGAAAATTTCAATTGGAACTATATTAAACACAAATATTTTCGAGAAGTTTTACTGTTTTGGTCGCGGTTGACATTTTAATAGAAATGCCCATATATATTTATAAATAGCATATACTAATTTGGTTTTGATAAGAACTAAAAACCTTATTTTTAAATCGTATAAAATACCTTTGTTTTGAAATATTTAATAAAATAAAACTTCTTATATTTGGTGAAAAAAATAACAAACTAAATATTATCAAGTGTCATTACATTACATATATTTATACATATTTTGGTATATCTTAATATTTTTTACATCTAACTATCGTTTATATTTCAGCTATATAAGAAAGTCGTTCGATTTTCAAAAAATTAAAACCGAAATTCTAAACAATATCTCAAAGTAAATGATGTTGAAAAACAGAGAATTTTTAGGTTTTTTTCTAAACAATTTCCGGTCGGTAAATCATATAACATATAAATGGACATGGTTTAATTTGATTTGCCAGTTGATGCTTATCAGGAATATCCACTCAGAGAGAATGCTACATTGAGTGAGAAGTAAAGACATAATTTAGGGAAAAATAAATCCATTTGATTACATTTTTGCTCAAAGGTGGTGTGAAATTTCTAAAGAAGATCAGACACAAATCTTCAAATTAAGAGGTTTAACACTTTCAATTGGATCTCGTTATCCTTTAGCCTGGTTTTTATGTAAATGTACATATGTAGCCACTCGGACAGACGGACATGACATATTACATACATATTTTAATTATGTTAATCAATAATGTGGTGGATAAAGGCTTTATATTGCCTGATACGAGATGAAGCCTGCAAATAAATAAATATTTTTCGCCATACTTTGCAGAACGGTAACTGAAGGCTCTAAGTTTTTTAAAGTGGTCTGCCAATATTGTTAATAAAAATCGCTCTAACACAAGTTTTTAAAGTAATTTTTATTATTTAAATTTCCCATCCTAAGAATGTTCCTGCCCACGGCAAGGTAATAGTGCGATAATTGAATAATGCACATTAATCTAAAAACAAGAAAGGAAGCTGACATCGGCACGCCAAAGATTGTATACCCTTGCAGTTTGCAATTGGATTATTAAGAATCGATCCATTCGGGCCAAACTAATAGAAAAAAAGGATATACCTATATTTATTTATTTGTACGCTGTATGCTTAATTCTAAATACCAGCCATATCTGCTGTGGCTTTCGGCTAAAAAAGGATATATAAAATTTGTATATTCATACATAACTTATAATAATTTGGTTTTGATAAAATAAAAACAAAGTTAAATCGTATAAAAAACTATATTTTATATTTAATATAATAATCATTTTTAAATTTAAATGCTGGAAACACACACAAAATAAAGTTTCATTAAGTTTTACCTGTACTTATTATATCTACAGTTTGACAGTTATAGTTTTACACTCGCAGCTTTATATAGAGAGTATTCAGGAGACTATATGCAAAGTTTCATTCTGATATCTTTAAAACTAAGGGAGAAGTTTGCATAGAAACGCACAGACAGAAGGACAGACGAACATGGCTTAATCGACTCGGCTGTTGATGCTGATCAAGAATATATATACTTTATAGGGTCGGAAATGTCGCCTTCACTGCGTTGCAAACTTTTGACTGAAATTATAATACCCTGTAAGGGTATAAAAATAAATAACTAAAAGTCAAAAAAATCTGCAACAAAAACGTGTGCACATTTATGCTCTCATATTGTAGCATATTTTTGGGACGGTTTATTTTGTTTGTGCTGAAGCAAGAAACTTTGTATTTTGTAATCACCAAACCTTAGAGCCCACAAGAATCTGTCACTACTTATTTACTTACTTCTTATTTAATTCGCCTGCGATTTGTATTTTAAAGCCAGGAGATGTCCCAAGGTAGATTTATTCCAGTTTTAATAATATTCTACGTTTTTTATAATATCGGTGAAATAAGGGAAATAATCCAAATCCATTTTTACAAAGTACAACATATATGTATGTTATTTTGTCTCTTGTAACCACCTAAAGCTGGCTCAGACCAAAAAAAATGTGAATAATCTAAAACATTTTTTTGGGTTTCTTTCTACAAATATCATATATAAAAGCTACGTTGCCATTCAATACTATAGTTGTCATATTGGCCGTATAAATTTGTATGAATTAGTCTAGCAGGACTCCAATTTCCCCGAACTCCCAAACTCCACTAAATAGAACAGATCTTTCAATATTTGTATTGCTATTTTAAGGGTCATCCACTTTTTTGTCGGCTTAGGTTCAGTCAGTTGGCATCTATCGCACCATGATAACACACTTTTTTTATTCCCGCTCCCAAACAGTCGAAAAAGTGCTCAAAAATTGGTCCGACCGAATGCGTTACTGTGAAACCAGCAGCGGTAGCCATTTGAATGAAACTGTTAACCTGGCCAACCTAGTAAGAAGACGTAGAAACGGATAGAGGCAGGAGGGCTTTTCCAGCCAAGAGTCTGAGTGAAAAGATGATTTTCATAAAGACAAAGGCAAATTCGATTATTTGGGATTTTTTCTGTTTTTGAGCGGCAATTACTTTTGCTCCTTCGGGTAATTGTATTAACCTCCATAAATTCTGTCAAAACTTATGCCAAGATAATTTAAGTGGGCTTTTTTATACCCTTATTATACCCTTGCA